ACAATCTTTATTCGGTTACAACACATTATACCCTATAAAATATAATATCTGTGTTATTCAAAATTTTAAATGAAATTCATGTCCATGTACTATTATGTTAAACTATAGTAATTATACCAAAGACTATAGTTTGTTAGCTTCGTAACTTTTACTTGCCATTTATATGTGCGTTGGTAAAACGTTTTGTACAATCCGAGTTATTATCATGACTTGCGTTGTGTCGAGAGAGAATAATATTAACGATTTTTATTTTATTTATTGATATTTCTCCAAGACGTTGAAACGGAATGACACGTTGGTTGGGAAAATACAAACGCTCTTTGAAAAATTGAAAGTAGACTATGGTTAGTTCGGTTCGGATATAATAATGTTGTATAAACATTCAAATGTTCCTAAAACGTAATTTGATTTAGTCCAGTGTGACCCGGACGTCGATCGAACGGGAACGCTCGTTCATATTGGCAATGTAGCAAAAAAAAAAAACAAAAATATTGTTGAATGAAATATTAAAATAGGTATAACAATATACGTTGCGTTAGTGACAATATTGAATGTCATGCGGCAGTATAGATGATGATAATAATAATAATGATAATGATAATTTTAGGTAGCACATAAAGCGACTTTCTGTTGTATTGTTCTACTATCTGTATAGGACGAGGAATCCGAAAAACGACTTCCAGCGGCGGTGGAGGTCGGTTCACTGAATTAACATTGTTACAATATTGTTATCGTCGTGCGTACACAGTGCGTTGCGGCAGCTAATGAGTCGAAAACTCTTTTTTGGATATGGAAAGCGTTTTTGGTCGTTTCCAATTTGAATTATTATTCCCTGAAACGTATTTCGTCCAAACGACTGCAACGGTGCATACAGTAGCTGGCAGCGTACTTCCACAGTCTGTACTGTGTCCGGTAGCGGGAGAACACCTTCCCGGGGTGCTTGTTCACCTCAATTAACCGCACTAATTTGTTTCTTAACGTTATTCACAACAAAACGGTCTCGAGAACAAGCGGAAAATGAAAAAAACCAGCTCAGACAACGCTGACAATATGTACCTATGCAAACAACAAAGGAACATAGGCTTTCCAAACAAAGAGTACATTATTATTATGTTATTTTTCACCGAGTCACATTTTGACTACCTCGAGTACCTACGCCGTCGTATGGGTGTTGTGCAGCCAAGTCGTCGAGTCACTCTTTCCACGTTAAAACGATAATAATCTGAATAACGATAATAATAAAAAAGATATTGAATAAAAAAAAATTAATATTATATTAGCTATATTGTACTTGACTGTGCACGACGAAATCGAAACGAATCGAAAGTGTTGAGCCAGCCGCGATTACATCCAAAAAGTCATGCAGTTATAATAATAGTACTTGGTAGATTAAGTGAAAATGTCTCACCTTGGAGATTTACAAGTACAGTAATTTACAGTAACCGATCGTAATAATAATATTATAACAATGCGACATTATCATAATACTTTGAGCGTTCTTCAATTATTATTAGAAATGTCGTTGTTAATAATTTTCATTTTCGCAAAATGAATAACGGTAAATTACAATTTTTTTTTTATACGCATAATTAATTTAGTCGGTTCAAACCGAAACTATCTATTATTTGAATGATAATAATTATGTAGTAAATTTTATTCAATAACCGTTCGTCGTGAATTTGTATTTCAAAATAAAAAAACTGTGCAGACACATCCCATTATGCATTTCTATAATGTATACCTTATTGTAATATCAAATATAAATTAATTTTCATTGTTAGAAAAAAGTCGGTACGGTGGAGTCCAGTGAAGACAGAGCGGTCACAGGTCTGTACTATGACTGAAAATCATATAGTGTGAATACAAACCGAAAAAAACGCGTCGATGCGGATCTTTTAAATGATAAATAATTATATTAAATATATAAAAACATCACTGTACAGACTAGACTAGACAAGACTAGAGTTCTTCTACTAATAAAGCATTTAAAAATATCAAAATAACAATAGTTTTCAATACAAATGATAAATGATAAAATGTTGATGGACTTATGTTAGTTTTTGCCATAACCAAAATAGGAAATTACTGAGTGTCTTTTTTTAAAGTAGAAATATGTTTAAATTGTTCTAGATTTTAGAGAGAAAGGAATAACTTTTCTACTTTTGGCCTTCTAGCCTAACCTTTGGTATACGATTTCTTATCTATAGACATACCACATAAAGAAATCGTTCCAGTGAGTTAAAGTGATCACACTCCAATGTAAAACCAATATCTCTTTCGTTCCGCATCAAACAAATAACAAAAACTTAATATGTTTAAATAGGTTCTAACACTTTTGCTATTGAACACCACTGATTTAAATGTTCCAATAAACTTATTGATAAAATAAAAATTACTATTTATAAGACATTAAGTTCAATCACGCACAGATGTTATAGAGATGCATTTTGTTATAATGAGATGTATTATACATGTCCATGCATACTTTATGCCTGGAGTAACTTCTGACTAAATACAGAAATAAAACAATTATTATACTTATAATCAGTTATAATAGTCAATCAGAATAATTAGTTATTATAACTACGGACATACACCTACATAATACTGATATATGTACATTCCTGTTGTATAGGAAGTAGTTTTTACTGTCCAGTTATTTCCTTCGTCGATTACAATATCCTAAGATTCTTTAGATTTCGAATCGCAGATCTGTATGAATAATAAAGGTTCATGAACTGAGCCACAGCTGTCAGCTTTGGTGTAAAACGTGACAATGGAAATTAACTGAACGATTGCTTCACGATGCAGATGAAACACCTCGTTCGTGACGTGCAACTGTCATGTGCAATATGCATAGGAGTAGATTAATTGATCAAATAACACAGTAATATGTAGAAAGTGACTTCAGACACAATAGTAATCAAAATCCGGTCGTCTTCCCTTTCTCTAATGTTTACCATAAGTAGCCATCGTTTGTTTTTAATTGTTTCAAAGCTTCGGAGAATAATAATATATATATATATATATCGACCTATTTTTATTAAAAACATGATGGAAAAAAAATTGTAATATATATTTAAAAGAGTATTGTATATTATGCTGTGCTACCGATATAAGTAACCACATCTAAGATCATAATATCGGTTCATATTATTGCCGCCAATAGTTGTTTAAGACATTATTTAACTATAGGTAAATTATATACGGTTATCTGACATGTTATAAAATATACATTTTTGCTATAGGTAAAGATTATAAGTAATTAGTTGAATACTTTAACATATACAAAAATATCTTAATTTCTTATCGCTATAAAAAACAATTATGTTTTGCATAATAGCGTTACGTTTTTTAATTAGATTTCATATATTATCTATTTTATCAATAGAAATTATTAGAAAGTGATATGCGTTGTAATCTATTGTCGGGTATGTATAATTTACATAACGAATGCGTCTGTTCTATAGATTTATTATTATGTATTGTCCGTGTAAGCAAATTTGATAATTCGGTGAATTATAAAAGAACGCCTATAAATTCGTCAAACCGTCTCCAGCTCATATAGTCAATGCAAAATTGCATAGCAAGACCACGAAACTATTGTCTTCTAGTTCAAATAATACAAATTAAACAATAAAAAAAAAACAATACACGCTTGTCATACTTACGAAAATTCACTTAAATGCGAATGAAAAAGAATTGTTTCGCATATTTAATTAAAAAAGAAATTATTTGTTTATTTAGTATTATTTCTCCTGTCCACTACAGACCAAATTAAATTATTTGTATTCCCTCTTAAAACTATTTTTTATGATGCGATTGGTGACAGTATATTGTCAATTGTACTAGGCCAATCACAGGAATATGAATTACTTCGTTTTTATGTACTTAGTTTATTAAAAATGTAGCTTTATATTGTATATTAAGGTTTTAACTTATACTGTAATTTAATAAAAATATAAGCTTTTAAGGTAGAAAATATTTTTGTTTGACAGACGTTGATTTACATAATTTTACCGTACCACGATATAATAAAAATATTATAAGAAGTGTAGTCGTTTTTAGTTTAAGTTTCCCTAATGGTTGCTATTTGAATACAATAGACAAACAATAATATTTGGTTGCTGCTTATGATTATGGTTATTTATAGTCTATGCCGCTGTCACCATAATAACATTTTAATTTCTCTAAACGTCTCGATGTTCGGCCTTTTGTTTTAAAAATAATATTGGAAACAATTCTATGTAAATACTGACTTCGTGCCTAGGTACAAGATAATTATTCTTTTGTGGGCCAGTAACATACTATATTAAAAACCGGTTGATAATCGTTTAAACACACCTCCGGACTACAATATCTTTTTATATTATATTATCATTGTACCTATACAGCTGCCGGAATGAACAAGACATAGCGTCATAGCTGTTCATCAATTATTGTTTTTTTTTAATGTTCCTCGTTAAACGTCCACCGCCTAGCAGTCACAACACCGTCGACCATTGCCGTATGGGCATAATAAAACCAACAGGGCTTGTGTAAAAAAAAAAAAAAATAATAATAATTTCACGAATTCCCTATTGATACCGAACGGTCGGAAGTTTCTCTTGACAAAAGACGTTTTCTTCTACAAAGTCAATTATCAAAAAATCCAAACAATGAATTCGTAACTCGTACATGACATACGGGACGTGTCGCTTTTGTGCGCAATCGACCACTCTCACCGGTTATTGTTTTTAGCACACCACGAAACAAACATACCTATAAGAGTAATTATATATATATATATATATATATATATATATATGATGTGGGTATAAATATTTATGTACTGCTGCTTCCGACGTGATTCGAAACACATTCGTGTATAACAAGTTCGATTTGTCAATAGTAATAATTTAATAATAATACATTTATTATTGTTATTATATATATATATATCAATATTATTGTTTATTTTCTTTTATCAATATATTTTAATAAAAAATATAATAATATGTAAATATTTACAATATTGGTTTTTTTTAAATCGATTGGCAATTTTTATTCGAACGTTCTTATTACAATAATAATAATAATAATAAATAAAACTAAAAATAATTTATAAAATTAACTCGTAGAGTTTACATGTAATAATCTAATTATTTTTGTGTTGGAAATCAATCGGCCACGATGGCCAAAAACGAGCCGATAACTTTTTGTCAGATGTCTTTAGTCCGTATGGTAATTTTAGTTACATAAAAAAGTCTTTTACGTTGTATAGTGGTAAACAACTAAACGCTAATATGGCAAAAAGTTACCCGGCCCTTGTAGAGCGAAAAACGTCAAGTCCTATCGCGATGATATAAGACCGCGTTTGGGGTTGACCTCCTATATTATTGTCTATATACTATCCGCTCTACTCTTACATAATATTATATCGTCGACAGGGATTACAATAATACGTCATAAAAATAACTTATAAATTAAAAGAAAAAAGTTTAAAAAAAAAAAATGGATTGAAATAAAAACCTAATTAAGGGGCAGGGTTGGAAATGGAATTGGCTATTTTTTTACTGTGTTGGCGGTCACCGGTCACGCGGTAGTCGGGGACACGACGGACGGTTGCATCTGTCCGTTGTAGGCCAACTGTTGGGCTTCCATGCTGCGTCTGTAGTAGCCTCCGGTGCTCGGGGAACCGGAAGACGGCCAGGAAGAAGCAGCGCTGGCGCCGCTCCAGCCCTCGGTGATCTTACCGATGCCTCCCGAAGATCCGGCGAATTTTTGCAGGGCCAATATTCCGGCAATGATCAGAGCCAACTTGCCGAACACCAGAGCCTTCAACGCGAAGAACCCGATGATTCCCAACAGCACGGGCAGGACGGCGAAGATTTTCACGGCCAACAGTCCCAAGATGGGCAACACCTTCTTCTTCAGCTTGCCGCGACCTAGAGGCGATAAAAAAAAAACGATCCGCTATAATATGACCACTAATGACAAATAATATTGTATAAACGAAAAACAATAAAAACGAGAGTCTATGTTTTCTTATTTTCCGCGATTTACTACTCTTAAAAATGTTTAGGTATTCTACTGAATTCGAAAATATAGTTTTAATGCACGTTTCTCACCTTCTTCGATGGCTCTGGACAGTTCTTCGGAGTTGGTCTGGGGGAACTGCAACTGGAGGGTCCTGGACTGGAGGAAACGGAGGGCCGAGTTGACGACCATGCCGGTCACCTTGGATGTCTTCTCGTCGGCGTCAGCAGGCAATTGACCGCGGAGCTCGTCCTCGGTGGGCAGAGCACGGGAATCGCGCTGAGACGCATCGTCGGCGGCGTTTTTGCTGAGCGTCACTCCAGGCAACACTTGCAAGTCTCCCATACGGGCGGCCCGTTCGAAGGCGGCGGCAGCCTTGACGGCCAGACAGGCGGTGGCGTCCGCGTCCTTTGCGCACTCCTCGGCCACGCGGGTCACCACGGCCCAGTTACCGTCGCCGGTGGATCGGCCTGCCCGGTCGCCTTCGATCTGGTTCTGCCGGCCAGACATGACGGCGGCGTGCATGCAATACGGTAAGACGGCCACGGCCAACACGACACTACACGAGAAACGCATGTTTGGTAGTTTTTAGTATATTTTTCTTTTACACAACGGAAACGAAACAAACACACAACCAACGACAAAACAACAAAGTAAAATGTAATTTTATAGTCGACGACGCACGGTGGATCCGAATGAATGATCGGTAACGCAATGGGGCGAAACGGAGACGGCGGTCCCTATATATCGCCCCGCAGCGGTCTTCGGCGGCGTGCGTCGTCGCGTCCCGGGCCCGCCCCACCACGACCTCACCGAGGCGGCCGAAGCCTCGCCCCGCCGCCGCCGGTAGAAAGTGAATAATATAATATAATAATATATTACCATTATTATTGTTTGTATATACGCGTGTGTATTTATTTATTATTCTACGCGGACGGTGACGCCTATCCCGGACCGGGTGGTCGAGCTGTGTGTCACTGCGTTATCTGTGTTGGGGTACGCACATCGCATTCCTCGGTCGCTGAGACTTGGCCGGATCGCGCGTCCACCGCCGGTTGTCGTTCGTCGTTCGTCAACGCAAGTTTCCTCACTTGTATTCGCTGTTCAATATTAACTTAGCCATAACGTCGGTTGTCAGAAGTTACCCAACTAAACCGTTTTTTTACTAAATATAGCTCTAATAAAAAATACACTATATTATAGTCATTGCTCTGTAAAAAGAATATTACCATAATATGATTTGTACGCGGCAAGTATGTTCTTGAATAATGTAATACATTATTACTTTGTGTTATTTTTCAAAGCCGCCAATGTCTGCTTGTAGTTTACTCGATTTCTTTGCCACAAGTGTTGTTCGCCTAAATCCAACAGGATCCCGAAATTAGTAATGGTAACAGTTTTTCGATTTTAAACCGCTATACAATGGCTTCATATTGCAACAACGGCATATTCCTAAAAATCGTTATATTAAATATGGGTGGGACTACTAAAATTGCAATGTTTTCAAAAAAAAAAATCTATTTAAGCCATATTAAAATCGTATTATTATTAATTTTACATTTTAATGTATCTAAAATAAATGCATTTGTTGAAAAAGTTCAAAGTCGAAAAGAAATAGGAAAATTTTAAAAATGTAAAAACTTATAACAATTTAAATTTTCAGTAATTTTCTTGTTTTGTATTGTTTTTAAACATTTTTTTTCTATATTTCTTTTTAAATGATTGTTTATTGATAACGAATTTTTTTAAGGTTTAAAAATAGTAGTAGGTATCTATCGTTTTTTGTAAACCTGGATTTTAAAAGTCCCGCCTCTGATTAAAATAATATTATTAAATAATATATATTTTTTTTTATTCGTGTCAGGCGCATAGTATAACAGTAATAATAGTATAACATAAATAAATAATATTAATAAACAATACATAATAAAAATAAATACCTAATAAAATAATATAATATTTAATATGATATGATAATATTGTTGAGTGTTTTAAGACGTTATTAGTGGATTTATATTGTTTCGGGCCAGATGCGGGCCACGTTAATTCCTTGGCTTGTGCCTTTTTGGATGTCTTCTGAGGTGCAAGTGTGGGAGCAAGCTGTGCATGTGATGATGTGTTGCATTGTCTGTTCTTCTCCGCATAGGCACAAGGTGTCTGCGCTATCTAGCAGCCCCCATTTTATTAGATTATCTTTCGTTCGTCTTATTCCTGTCCTAAGTCTGTTTAATGAATAATATTTTATAAAGAATATATTTTTTTTTAAATGATAAAACTTGTTTTTTTTTAGCACGCTTAGGTATAATAATAACTATTATAAATCGTACAAACAATTAATCATTTGAAAAATCTGAACAACCCAAATGAAAACAACTAATTAATTTTAATATTAAGTACAACCTCGTGTATTTAAATTGTACCTATAAACTTAATAATGCAATTTTTTGATGTGTCATTAATCATAAATCAAGAAACGATTATTCTTAGTCCGACGTACCACATGTATATATAAATATATAATGTATTTTTATTAATAAAGAGGTTGTCGTCCACGCGTATTTGATTATTGTCTAAGCTTATAGGAATTATTTGCGGAATTTATGATGGTCATAAATGGTTTTGTTCCATTTCCAGCATAGTTTAGACAATAGAACTTGAAATGTACCGGTGCGGTATGGTAATTTGAGGTATAATCATAGGTAATAATAATAATAATTTGTTTTCACCATTAAACGAAATTTGTATATTATTATTGTTACTAGTATTATTAGAATAAAATCGTTGTACAATTTCATTTTTAAGAACGTTGTTAACAACAATGTATTTTGTATTGTATAACTTATAAACAAAGGCCAGACTAGGCCACTGAAACGGTGGACCAATGCCAAATGGGTCGAGCAAGCGCACGGTCCTTTACTTTGGTGGGCTGCCTTTAGATTTGGGACGGATTCTGTTTTTCAACTGTTATACATTTTACAAAACCTGATGGATCAGCCAAGTTAGTGTTCGATTGTCGACAGTATAATATTAAACAATTATTTAATTTTAACACGCTGTCGTTTTGCGCCTTTAACACCTTCCTAATCGTGACGTACTTATACTTAGTTGGTGTATAATTTTATATTTTTTAAATATAGTAGAAAGTAAAATTTTATAATTTGCACGGGTTCATCGTTGCCGACTTTAGAAGTTTTATTACACATTGAAATTATGTTTTGTTTTATTTTACTGTTTAAGTACAAAATTGATCAGAATTTTGAAAAAAATTAATTTTTAAGAATAATTTTTTAAAAGTGTGAATATTAAAAAAACTCTGTAAATTGTTCCAAGGATGACATTAGTTTAAAAAGAAACTTCATCACTCTTTACCTTTGGACTTTAATTGGCATAATTATTATTCATGTCGTTTCTACGTAAATTATGATGGTCGCACGATTTACCGTTTGTGAAAAATCACTGAAAAGCAGTATTTTATAATCCAGTACACAATGGCCTATTCATGTATAACCTATTGTCTAGGAATATCGTGGCACATACTCTGATACGCGGTGGATTAGCATGCTCGTCTCGCGTTTAACCGAATGATCCGGTTAAGAGAAATTAGCAGCCAGCAAAAAATTGAATACAGCGATGCATAAAAATAATTTTTGCCGAAACGGTTTCATTAAAAGCCGCCGTGCAGTACACGTTACAGCTGACACGCCGGGCAAAGGTATAAGAAATATTGTAATAACAACATGACCCCCGAAAGTGTTAACCTCTAGCCCAGTTGCAATTAGAATAACCAACAGCCGGTGCTTGTAGTCGTCAATACGCGTCCAAAGACGTCCATCAATTTATTATGCGCGCTTTGTGTGTCAGCACACGTTTTGCCTTCAACCCAGGCAAAAATCTATTATGTCTCGCGTTGGAAAGCGGCGAAATGAAAATAGCACCGAGTCTACGGGCAATATTAATTCTAAGGTAGGTATATACACCGAGTGAGTATTGTGTGTCTACTATGAAAACACAGTACACACGTTACACCTAAAATTCCGTCCGGGATCGAGGTTACGAAGTTTGAGGTGCTCGCCATAGCTAATAATAAGCGGTCGTCTCGGCTTCAGTTCAGAATTCCAATCGGTATATTATGTCTTAAATACTATCAGCTACTATCGGTGTCTTAATGCACAAATGTCATAAGTGCATTTTAATTGGGAAATCTCATTTTGTACGACAATATAGATATTGAAAGCCTCCTACACACGTTGTGTACGAATTTTCAGTAATTCTTAGTTTTACCAGTACTAGGCGACTTGGAAGTTAAATACACGCGATGATTATGTACGTTCAAATGCCGCCGCTGTACATTTTTAAAACAAAATGCACTAATGGCGTTTGCGCACTATGCCAATCGGTATAAATCCGAAACATCATACATTTTCCGGCGACAACATGGTAGGTTTTTGACTTTTCGATTACTCAAGAGTCCAAAAAAACCGGAGAGAAATACCTACGTCCGGAGGACATGTAAACGTTCTCGGCGACAGTTCCTATTGCACGTGGTTGATTCCGGCCGAGATGGACCGGGTCCACTCAACGATAGATAATAACATTATAATAGGCGTATGCACCGACTCTAGACTGTAGTAGCACGGTTGTGTGTGTAAAACTCGTATTCCCAGAGTTTCTAGTGAAATTACGTGATGCTTACGGACAACCTTGACCTTGTGCGTATACTGTAACACACACACACACACACACAACCGAATAACACGATACGGTTATGTGTGTATTATAATAATCTAAGTAATAAACGACGACCGGATAATGGGATACGTGCGGAGAAGGTCCGACGGCCGTGCACGGTCAACGGCGTTTATTAAGTATAGGTAGGTGGTACGCCTAGCGTTTGGATTTTTATTTTTAGTTTTTGTGTTCACCCCGAATCTCTTTTTTTTCGTTTGGACCAGAAAAGACGACGACGATATACCGTATAAACACGTGTCGTTAAGATACAGCGGCAACGGGAAACAAAGACGGACTTATAATAATAATATACAGGGTTCTCCTCCCGAGTACGCCTATAGAATCTCGGCGACTAGTAATTTGGTATTGCCGTTCGATATCGTAAAGTATAACTATTGAATTGACTATGTCGATTCATTTATCTCTTGTGGCAGCACGCACTCGCGTTTAAAGCAACTGTTTTCATTTTAAGTTGATAATACATTTAAAACCTAATATTTGATTTTTATTCCAATACTCTGATAATGGTGTTTCAACCAGTACTGTTTAAATATCCCCTTAAAGCTTATAAAATAACTAAAACAATAGAATAATATTCTTTTAAAGTATACAATATATAGTTGCACATTTTGAATAAAACTAATCGAATATGCTATTATGTTTAATATGAATCTAATATCCGTCACTATAGTTTGACACGCGACAAACGAATTAATTCATTAACAAAAAATATATTAACAATCTACTAGAAAACAATAACATTTATATTATCATTGTGCGCGATACTCGTTAAGCAGATGTCAAGACAATTTTTAGTTTGACAAAGTTGACACGCCAAACGCAGACGTGCTAAGTTAAAATGTAGGGTACGCCAGAGGTTTTAATGTATTGAATAGCCAATCAGTGGTATTCCCTCTGTATTCAACAACATCTGTATTCTGGTCCTAGACAAATGTGGATAGTACCATAAACAAGATACGAATGAA